TTCTGGTTTTGCTAAGCATTGCTCTTCTTTATTTTTTTCCCCCCAAAATAATGCTGCTTGTTTTATGGACTGCCCTTTATTTTCCAAATTTAACCAACTTCTTCTTCTCCATTTTCTTGAATGATGCGCCCTCATTATTTAACCCATCACGTCATTTTCATTTTTCTGAAAGGAACAAAATGACCTTCAGGCTTCAAGTGGTCTTTTCACTTTCTCTGCATTGGTAATTTGCAGACTGAACTGATATCCGGGGACCAAAACGGTAACATACGTGTCTGGGATTTGACAGCCAATTCTTGTAGTTGTGAATTGGTATGTATCCGATCTGTTGTTGAAGAACCTCTTGTGCTCTAATTGGAAGTGTAATATTATTTTGTGCTCTAATGCACATTTTCTTTTGGTTTATGTAATCTAAAAGTGATGTATAATTTAATTTCAGGTCCCGGAGGTGGATACAGCTGTACGTTCGTTGACTGTGATGTGGGATGGGAGCTTAGTAGTTGCGGCAAATAATCGTGGGACATGTTATGTTTGGCGTTTGTTGCCTGGGACCCAAGTAAGAGATACATAAGCTTCTTGTGTGTTAGTTTGGCTCATGCTCAAATTTTTTTTATTCAGTTATTCATTATGTCTGTTGCAGACTATGACCAACTTCGAGCCACTTCATAAACTCGAGGCACATGATGGCTACATCCTTAAATGTCTTTTCTCCCCAGAGCTCTGTGAACCTAACAGGTTAGGATCGAAAACAAAAGAAGCTATTTTTGTAAGTTGCAAATATTCACTTGAGTTTTGCAAGGAAATAATCTCAGTGGGATTTTTTTGTATTTGAGATGAATTGATTTTTTAATATTGAACTTTTTTCTGTAATAAGGCTAAACCTCAGCATAGGTATTTGCAATTAAATTTTCTTGTTTTAATGGCGATATCTTGAAAAATGATGATTTCCAGGTACCTTGCAACTGCATCGTCAGACCATACCGTCAAAATATGGAATGTTGATGGTTTTACTTTAGAGAAAACTCTAGTGGGTACGTATTTTGCCCTGCAAGTTGTAATTTATATATATTTGCTTATCTCCAAATCATTTACAAGTTAGTCAGGCTGTATTATTGATCTCATCGACCCATTTTCAGGGCATCAGCGCTGGGTGAGGGACTGTGTCTTCTCTGTAGATGGTGCTTTTATGATCACAGGTATGTTACATGTGATATTAAGTAATTAGCAACAATTTTATTTTTTATAATTATATTGCAGTCTTTTTTGTAGTCAATCATTTCAGAATTTTTCTGGTATTTTAGGCTTGAAAGAATTTTTGTAGAGGAAAGGAATTTATTTATTTATTTATTTATTCTGTTTCTACCTTTCTTGATTTTTATGAGCTTCAAAACAAATTTAGCTTATTATACCATATCATAACATTTGAGGATTTCCAAAATGCAGCTTCTTCTGACTCGACTGCAAGATTATGGTCGATAGCAGATGGCGAGGAAATAAAAGTTTACAGAGGACATCAGAAAGCAACTGTGTGTTGTGCTCTAAATGATGGCACCGAAATTTCGTGCTGAATATATAATATTTTGCATATGGTTTTATCCTGGTTCGCAGTATCTTTTCTGTATTTTAACATGATTTCGACTTCATTTTCTATACTATATTCTAGCTGTATATATATGTGTTTGAATTATGGGTAAAATTGAGAGATGAGTGGCAAGATTTGAACTTAAAATTAGGCAGGGGGGATTGGAACAAAAAATGGGCGAGTAGAAATTATTAAATGTGTGGAGGGTAGGATGGTAATTCTAGGAACGAGTTTATGAGTTTGGCTTAATTGTGACAGTGCCCCACTAGTTTCTGAATTTTCGATTTCTAACCATGAATCCATGATGCTTGCTGCTTTTATAGCTTAGACTTGGAGCGTGATAGTATTTGTGATGTTCAGTTTGTTTTCTATTTTGTCGGAAATTTTATTCAGTAATTAGTTATATGTAAATATATATTCATGTTGCTATTGAACAGTAAAACTTATTGTAGTAGTTTTTTTCTTTTTTTTTTTGCCTAAATTAATTACAAGAAAATAGCATTTTGATTAATTTGATCTCAAGAATGTTGGAACAATATGTAAGGAATGATTCCAATGAGAACCAATGTTAAAACGATAGGATTAATACAATCAATCGTTGATCTAGATTTAGTAGATGTAAATTGGTTACATAAGGAATGCCTTCATCCCTCTAACTATGCATGATTGAAGATGAGAATGATTAGGTTTAATTGGAGCTTTGTACTACCCCTGGGAGTAGTGGACCTAGCAAAGGATAAATAAACTTAAAAAATGTTGAGGACTGTGCTAGAGCTGAATTATTTGTGAAGTTTTTGAAGGTTTTCTTTGAGTGCAACCAATAAACCCACTACACATCAGGCATTCGATGAGATTGTAATAGATTTTGATGAGCTATTTGCTGCACCATTAACAAATCGCAGCACAAAATTTGAGAAGCTAAATCGACATTATTAAAATTAAAATTAAAAAAAAAAAAAAATGGTTCCCCATTTTTTAGATAAAAACCAAACTGAGCAGAGAGACCTAACATATATCACTCTGACAGTACAATAGAACCTTATAAATTGAATTTTCACTCTACAATATTCAACTGAAAATAGCCTCCCGACGCTGGAGAGATATACAGAGTAACAAGTGCCTCAACATATTTCACAACACTTAAAAACAGAACCAAGTATCATATAATGCTCAAGACAGATAAAAATCATCATTCCAGCGTGAAGAATACACTGGAACCCGTGCATCAACACACCNCTTCCTGCGCAGCTCCTTCATCGTCGTCCTCCATTTAAAGAAACTCCCAAACAACACCTCCATATCCTCCAGCGTCCTCCCCCTCGTCTCCGGCAGCAACGTAAAGTAAAACACCCACGTCACAGCCGCAATCCCACTAAACAGAAAAAAAGTCCCTCCAATCGTGATCGCCTTGTAAAGCGATATAAACGACATGAGAAGCACCCCACTCGTCGCCCGATTAAGCGCCACCCCAACCCCACACCCTTGCGCCCTCAACCTCAACGGAAAAATCTCCGAGCTGTAAACCCACGCAATCGGCCCCATCCCCATCGAGAAAAATCCCACCGACGTGTAAGTCATCAGCACGCACACAATCACGACCCATCCAAGATTCTCCGTTCCGTACCTCTCGATAACTGTGAGGCCGACACCGAGCGTCAGCATCGAGAGCGTGAGTCCTCCGCAGCTCGTGAGGAGGAGGACTCGACGTCCGATTCGGTCGACCATGAAAGTGGTGACGAGGATGAAGACGGTCTTGCAGACTCCGACGGCTATGGTGGCGAGGAGCTGCTTGTCGTCGCTAGTGATGCCGGCCTTGGCGTAGATTCGAGGGCTGTACATGACGACTGCGTCGATGCCGCTGGCCTGCTGGAAGAATTGGAGGCCGAGGGCGCAGATGGTGATGTGGAGGACGGGTTTTGTTGGGGTGAGGAAGAGCTCGCGCCACACGCCCTGGCCGCTGTCGCTGCCATGGCGTTGGAGGACGGGGACGAAGTCGTCCGAGTCTTGGGAGATGCCGGCGGCTTCTTTGATGTCGCAGAGGCGGAGGTGGGCTTCCTCGTCGGAGTCGGAAGTGCGTTCAAGGACGCGTCGGGCTTCGGCTAGACGGCCCTGCATTACCAGCCAGCGTGGGGACTCGGGCATTACTAAGACGGCGAAACCGATGAAGATGGCGGGGATGGCGCCCACGCCGAGCATCAGGCGCCAGCCGAGCTTGAGGGGGAACTTGGCGAACACGTAGTTTGAGAGGTAACCGAGGAGGACTCCTGTATCACAACATTTAAGATAAAAGAATAAAATAATAATATGATTTCACGTGGAAAAATGAGGGAATTGATGGTGCTGGTTTTCATTTTAAACAATTGACTTCAATTAGTGCCAAAACAAAACCTACAATCATTTTTAATCAATCATTCTTTTTAACTCAGTTAAACTCGTTATTCTCAATATTATGAATGTAATTAAATAATATCATTCAATCATTTGTACACGTTACATCAACTTTAATTTATTATTCATCTATTCACATAATTTTACCTAACCATCACGTCACATCATTTTTCATACTTTTACATCAAATCAAATTTTAATTATTTTAATTTAAATATTACTTTAACATAAGTTCAAAATCCACTAACTAATCATACAACTTTTTTAAAATTTAGCCATAACAAGTAAAAAAATCCAAACAAATCAAAACATTTTATAACCAAACATCCTAGTAACCACGCGGCGTTCTTTAAGATGGAAACCGTGTTGTGAATACTAACATAAACGATAAGAAAGTGTCCAAGTGATGATAAATTAGTATTTTGAAGCAAAAATATACAAAGATGCGTGTATTTTTTTCTAAAGAACCTGTTCATCTGTCAATAAGAAAAAATAAACTAACAAACATATCCAGAAAGAAAAATATGAATGAAATATATGACGTCAGCACTTATCCAAAGGTCGAAGACGCAGCAAGGAATATAAATTATATATATATATATATTGGTGTGTAAATCTAATATCAAACACTTTTGGACCACAAATTAAAGACACGCAGACACCACGAAACAAAAGTAGAAGAAATTAAGTCCACGTCAGAGACATAAATTATTGGGCGTGGGCCCTTAACAGTGACCAATAAGCAATCGACAACAAATAGTACTATCTTCGGTCCACAGTAATTGGGCAGCACAAACACATGAAACGTAAAAAGCAATTATATTGCGCAGATTTGATAAGTAGAAAAATTGAAATTGAACTCTCTCATAGTCCGCAAATTCATCTATTTTTTATATTTTTTTTAATAGAAAAATATGGCATACTAGCAACGTGTTCAATTTCACTTATATCCATCAAATTAAAAACACAACTTTTCTCGGAACAAGCCATTCAGAGAGCTTGAAACGAAGAAAACAAAAGCAAAAACAAGACAGGTTGTCTAGATTCAACTAAAATGGAACATGTCTTTAAATTTATTTAAATATATAAATATTTCGAAAAATCATTTTAGCCTCATGAGATTAAAGATTAAGAAAGATTTGGATAAAATAGAGAACAATTTGTATGTTAACTTTTAATTAAAGAGTATGGTTGTTAAAGAAAACTATCATCAGTCCAAATTACCTAATAATATACAATTCAAGAAAAGTACATCAGTGCACGTTAGGATATGAACCAATATCTTTCTTCATTCAGAAACAAAGAGGTCATGAGTTTGTGTAATGAATTAGAATTCAATAAACAATTTCATAAATCAAAGTGGATAAAAATCTAAAGCTTTATACAAACTCACGTTTGGATATAATGATTCCTAATCAGGATGATTTTCCCAGTTAAGGGTCTAATAAGTCTGGTCTGATATTTACTAAATCAGATCAGATTTAAGTCTATTTTATTAGAGCAACTCTCGCCAACAGAATACATAAGAATAGAAACAAATTAAAAACAGATTTAATATAAGAGTATTTTAGACTCTCATTTCGAGAAACAATAATGGAAAAAAAAATAATAAATAAAGTAGAATCGCATACCGAAATTGATGAAAACCTCAGGGAAGGAGGTGAGAAAGCCACGGGAAGAAGCCGGAGCTACCTCAGCGGCGTACACCGGCGCAATCATCAGCGCATAGCCAACGCCAAGCCCCGCCACGAACCGGCCACCCATCAGCACCCAATAGTTGTTCGCAAACCCCATGATAGCGGCCCCGGCAAAAAATATCACCGACGCAATCACGATGGTTACCCGGCGGCCGAGCCAATCGGAGGTCCGGCCGGCTATGGCGGACCCCAGCAGCGAGTAGATGTTGATTGTACCCACCAGAATCTCGATCTGCTCGTCCGTGACCTTCAGGTCCCGCTGGATGTAGAGCGTCGCCCCACTCATAACCCCGGTATCTGAAATCATTTCAAAACATAATCGCTCAAAAACCTAATCGAAAATAAAATATCCAAAGTTGGGGAAATCAGGAAATAGGAATTTGAGGGGAAAATGTTTATGGAAGAATGAAGGAATGAATTACCATATCCGAGAAGGATGGAGGTCATCGACGCCATTACTGAGATTAGCAGAGCGTACATGTTTTTCTTGGGCTTATCGATGAGTGGTTTCTTAGGCGAACCGTCGGAAATATGGCTGTCGGCCCTCGCCACCGTCTTCTCGGCCATGGCTGGAGTTCAAAATCTGGAAGAATACGACAAGGAGCTATGAAAGAGATAAGGAGATATTTTCTGTGTATTCTCTGGTTTGTGGTTTTTCCTTTTCTAATTTTTCTCTTGGAAGAGTCAAAAGACTCAGAGGTGACGTTACAGCTGTGAGTGAATTTGAATTTATTGGTTTATGGGATTTTGGGCCTTATATAGCATTTTACTGATAAGGGTGTTTATTTTTTTATTTGTTGGGGCCTGATATGTAGAGCTAGGTATTGATAATATTTACAACTTTTCTATTTCATCTTTTACTTATTTTTATTTAAAGAAACTAATAAAACCTAATAAGTATTAGATATGTAATTTATGTGTTTGGCAGCTTACTTTTACAAATCACTAATGCATGATATTAGTGCAGTGTAACGGTGTATTAGATAAAAAATACAAAATCAAATGAAGACTTGGGGGAATTGGCATATAATTTTGTGAATATTAGCAGAGGGTGTAAATTCATTTCATCCCTGTTTTTCCCAGTTGTGAATCACGCATGCTTCATTTATTGTTCTATATTTGGCTCTTTTGGGTAGAGATGTTAAATGGTCTTTGGCCCGACGGGCCGGCCCGTTTAGCCCGGAAAAAAAGAGGGTTAGGTCCTTTTATTAGTAGCCCGTTTAAATCAGGGCTTTTTAGGCCCGGACCGTTTAGCCCGAAGCCCGCTAGGGCTAGCCCGAAACCCGCTAGGGCTGGCCCGTTTAACTAGGGTTGGGCAGTGTAAATGTTTGCATCAAGTAAGTAATATGCTCTTAGATTTCTTGTATATTACAATTTTGATATTCCAATTCACATGTAAGTACGATTTGTAATGCATTATTATGATTTTGAAAGATAATTATTAACAATATTGTTATTGTACTTCATACCAAAATATTTAAGCAAATCAGAACGACTAATAAGAAAGACATGAAACATAGTGATAGACGGTAATTACTAAATAGCCGTTGAAAACAATTTTTAACTAGCCGTTGTTATTTGTTTTATAATTTTTACTCTTTTTATTTTTTATTTTTT